GCAATTAGAAGAAATGACTTATGAATAAGCGATATGATTAACGTCTGTTGTGTAAAGCTCATATTTAATGTTGATTAGTTTTATGATTTAAAAAATCACATGATCTGCCTTTTTTGGTTTCACGCGTGACGCAGCACGAGTTATTTTATTTCGCGAAATATAGGTTTCTCCCTTGTTTCTTTGAATAATTATTAATGTTGGTTGAATTGAATTAAAAATCGAATAGCTAATTTTCTTTTAAAAAGACCTTGTAGCGTATAATCAAGTGAACTTTTGCCACGATAATTAGTGATTAATTTTTTATTTTAAATTTAATAATCCGAATTCGAGTTTCAAAAGTTCAATACAATAACAGCCACTTTTAAAATTAAAACTTTACTCAGTTCATGATAGAAGTATTATCAAACGGACGTGTGAATTTATATTATATTAAAGTCTCGAATTCCTTTAGTAATCAACAAGAGCAATTATTTGATTTTTTCTTGCACGCGCCTTCTTTTAATTGCTGGTTCTTCATTTGAAGCATCCACTCTATCCTTTAGCATTCCGACAAGTATTTCTAATACACTTTTCACCTGCTTATGCAATTCATCTTCATTTTCATTAGCATTATCGACAAGGTTAACATGATAAAATCTTGTACTGGTACTGTACACATCCTCCGTTGTGTATAAAATAAAGTACCATTCAGTTGCAGTTGTGACTATTCCATAAAGAAAATCATAACTATCTTTCTCATACTTGACGGCTTTTTTCATCCATTCTTGCGTCTTTCGCATCATTATTTCAAGTTCCACAAGATTCTCAGCAAACACCGCTTTTATTTCCTGATCCACCGTCATCTCAGTTACGCATGCAATCTTTTCAGAGGTAACCTGTAGTTGTCGGCGCAAGTAAAACTCACAGTCGACGTGGCCAGAGTATTTGTCACCTTCGAGTTCTTTTTGTAAGTGAATATAGAGATTTTGGATAAAACTGGCAGCTGCTAGCAATATCGGTGATATGAACATATGGCGCGATGCATGGTTGCTGTCCCTTTTTAATCCTTTCATAATATCCAATTGCATCTGTATTGACTTAACACATCCCTTTAGAATCTCATCATTATCATCGATTTTATAGATGACTGACAGAATTAAGCAAATGAATATTGAATTTTAAAATAATACCAGCTACGCGAACAAAACTTGCAACTTGACAACAAAGATTTTGAAC